ATGCTTTGATATATGGAGCTTTGAATCTTCAGAAATAGAATTCAATTCTATTTTTAGCAAATGCCTATCTTTTTTTTACATTATTTGTGTTAAATTTACATTTATTTCAAAGCATCTTTAATTCAATTTAAATAACAATAATTAATATTTCGATACAGAAAGAAGTACAATTTTCTTAATGTATAATGCAAATTTTGTTACTGAAAACTCTTGTAGTCTTACCGCTACTTTAAATAAACGACAAAAGATATTAGCCAGATACCTGCGTCGCAAAATGTTCAATTAGGTAATAATTAATGTCGTTCAACGTCGTTAATCGAGCAGTTAACGTATTGACTGCGATCTCCGTTTTTCAGCGAAAATGAACGCCTGTAAAACGAATTTGCACATCCCGCGAGAATATTGGTTGATTACCGGAAATTGTAACGAATCGTGCGGAATAATGCGGCGCGCTGGGCGACGGTATGAATTATCAGGCTTCTCGTTTGGAAATTTGGCGGATAATCGTGAGAGGGATTGCCGAATTGTGGCTCGAATTCGCGTGACGCATGAATAATGGGCTTGAAATTGCACGCCGAGCCTGCAATAGCGGCATTAATAACATAACAAAGATATCTTCAACGGAGATATCATATGTTCTTCTGGAATGTATTTCAACCGGTACTTTCCTTATCATCTGCGTGTATATATTCACGAATGTTGCGTATTAAAATAAAGCCAGCAAATTGGATGATATTCAATTACCGCATGTGCTCAAATTCAATCATGCATACACCTATAATTCTTTTCAATTGGTAGCTTGATATGGTAAAGTGAGGAGCTTCTTTATAATATTTTAAATTAAAAGTAAATGTATTAATTAAATCTTAACTTTATATTAACGCACGCTATCACGATTGAGTTCACGTTTTAATCTTGATTAATTTTAGATAATAAGATTATGCCTCAATATATTAGATTTTGGTGCTTTTAGTCGAAAATTTCGTACTTGCTCTACCGCATTAAAGTAAAATTGGTGAGTCTCCCTAAAGGGGCAAATGTCCACTTATAATAGAATTTTGTCTCATTAAATTGCTCGCGAAATTGAACTACGTATCTTGATTTCTTCCTTTCTACGTGTTAACGAATTAAACGTCTATTATTATCATTCTATTCCAATACGATTTACATGGGTAAAAACTGGATGTGCAAGATGTTTCTTTTAATTAAAAATTTTTACACGGCATTGTGCGGCGAGCTTAATCTATTAACACGCGCTCGAAATGGAAGCATTAAATTTGTAATCATCATAATGTATGGGTAGCTTACTCGATGTACATCGTAATATCGTTTTCCACAATAGCGTCCGGTAAAAAGCCCATATTTAAAGGACTCGCGCGTGTGTGGGTATGTATATTCGCACGAACCCGCCCAGTCACATAACAGAATAACGGAAATTAAAATACTCCTCATATGGAAGTCGTCGTGAAATATTGCATTTCAGATATTACAGTATAATATTACGGTATTCAGTTTTATTCAGTTCTCAAGTATTCTCTCGACACTCGAATTCAGTGTTCTAACATCCGTGTTCAAAATTATAAATGCGATTATTTTCTATCGTTCGTCATTCGCTATTTAATCTTCAGGTCCAATAATCATTTAGTTTTGTAATTATAATATGATATATATGTATATATATTATATCTTCTAATTATAATGATATAAGATATTATATAATATTCTATATATTTTCTAATTCTATAATATGTCATAAAATTCACACCTTAATTTAACTGTTTATCGTTAAATCTAATTAATTTTATATTTTAGCGGTTTATAAATAATAATTTAATATTACATAAATAGTTTCTAAACCATTTTTTCAATTTAAAAAATACGAAAAACAAAATAGCCCATTTTTTCATCTCCTCTCTAAGAGGTTTCCTTTTTATAAAAGATTAACAATTTAAATTTTAATTTTAATTACCGAGTCTTTATATCGTTCGTATAATCCGGTTATACTGTAAAATGAAACTAAATTTTGGAAAGAAAATTATGCAAAACAGAATCGTTTTATATAATAGAGGTCAATTCCAGAAGCCCTGTCAGACACCCCAATAGCTAAATGAAATAAACGAGTGGTATCAATGAGCGATATTCAATAGGCGTTGAATATCATCGGTCACTGATTAAATATCAATTTGAATTTAGTCATGACCGCAAGTAATCTACGCAGAAGCGCCATCAAACGTTCTCTCATGTTGATGGAATCGTAACAAGGTCGAGTATTCCGTTTATACTATATCCAGTTTATTGTTAGAGAAATAAAAATAAGTAAAAAAGGTGTTGAAAAATACTATGGTTTATCTTTTCGCGTAATATAACGATGCATTGCCCGAGAATCGCATTTTTTTTTTTTTTTCAAAAAAAAGATATTGAAATGCATGTAAGAATAATTATAAGATAATCAAAATACGTGATGTGCAGGAAGCGCGCCCCTTTCTCGACAACAAAGAAAGATAAATAAATGAAATAACTGTAAAGTAGTAATAAAGTAAAAAAAATAGTAAAAATAGATAATAAATAAAGAAATGAAAATAGTAATATATGCCGTCGTAATGAAAAGCTAACAGTTCGTTCGGGATATTGAAATATCGTTGAATATATGTAATCTGAATAAACGAACGTGACTGTCGACATTGAGCGATTTTCCCCTTTTTCTTCGGAAAATACGGAGAAAAAGCGGGATAAGAACGGGAATACGTATACGGAAAATCAAATAGGGAGAGAAAGAGAAGGCGGTTTTATTGCAGAGGGCAGACACGAAGATTATTTGACCGGCTTATCCCGCCAACTAACAGCTTTCCTGCCCAGCTTTTACTATTTTTCCTCTAAGAAAATATAATATTTTCAGCGTGAAATTATTCCTGCCTCGAGTCTAGTTAGCCACACAGAAACAGTAGTAAAACCGGTATTTGCGGAAGAAGGAGAGACAGGCGAGAAGACAAGAGAAACTTCATTAGTGAAAAATAAATATGAAAATCGCGGTTACGATGCTTTCCTTTATTATATAAACAATGAAAAAAAGCAAGTGCTTAAAAATTGACTTGCAAAATTGCTTTATGATATTAGAAAAGTTAAAATAATAAATTAATTTTATTAAAAATAATAATAAATATTTAATTAATTAAATACTTAATTTAAAAAATTATTTAAATAATTAAATATTTTTAACTAGTAAAACTAACATAGTAATAACGCCTGCAAAATATCGTTAAAAATAAAATAGTAATAATTTATAAAAAATGTGAACTCGTCTCGCTAGAAATATCGGCACTCAGCAAGTTCATAGCAAGGAAACTGCGTTATAAGTTCAAAACCCCGGTAGAAAAGCGTATGGAGACCTGTTGAACTCGACGAGACTCGGTAAAAAATTCGAAAATTCTCGGACATATAACTTTTGCTTACCTTCGCTAATTTACTACCTTGAGAAAAGCGAGAGTTATACGTATAGGTGTGAAGATATCGAAAGAGAAGTGTGGATATTGTGCCGATATTACGGATATTTTCTGATATCGGATATTTTCTGACTATTTCCATTATACTAAGAAATTTTCGTCGATCTTCATGATCGAAATCTCTCAGAAGCGAAATATGGAAAGGATTTACATTGAGTAGGAGAACGGGATAAGGATAAGACATCGAAGAACGGCACGTTTTATCGACGCCATTTACGACGATAGCTTTTGTCCAAGCTTCTCTACCGTATCAAAGATCGGCCAGTTTCTCTTCAATCGATCGAATCGTGATGCGCGAAGGGAAACGTCGTGGTTGCGCTTTCCCATTTCCCGGCAATTTCCGGAATAAGACATGATCAATCGTGAAACTCTCTCTCTCTCTCTCTTCCCCCCTCTTCCTTACCGATTTTCCTCCGCGTGTCCATCCAGCATTCTCGTTTCTTCGTCAACGATTTAATTCATGTTTGAAGGTGAAGGTCGGAATGACAAAAAGGAACGCGAGCTATCGATTTTTCGATTATCGGCAGGATAAAAATTTTAAAGCATGCTGGCCATATAAATACGATATTGAGAAATTAGATCGCAGGAAAAATGCAGGAAAAAGAATTCCCTTCGAAGGACGAGAACGAGGTCATGGGAAGGAGGCCGAAGTGCTCGTAAAGTCGTTTAGTATTCCGGCGGTATCGTCTTTCAACGTAAAGGTACACCGATTAGCTCTGTGACGAACGAATTGGCGATCCATAAGAACCGCGAGTGAAATCGCCGACGTGCCGAAAATAGGAGGATATAGAGAAAACGTGACTGGGGTATTGTGGGAATTTTCTAACCGATTTCTCAGATAAATTACTGTACGTTTTTAGAGAATGTAACACGCGAAATGGCAATTCGTGCAAGATAGAAAACGTGCAATTAACAGACAATCGTTAAATTTTTAAATTCTTTTCATTTTTATAATATCGTTGACCATTTTGCCTCTAGTAAAATTCACAGAGAAGAAAACCGGATACGGTATCATTATTTTTATCCCGTTACAAACTAATCCGATTAAATTCTTTGTCGAGAGATCTAGGATACAAATGAAACGATGTAAAATAACAAACGATTAATCTGGGACGTAGCGGGAATAAAAATAATTCAGGACGTGAAGATTAATTAATTGACGAATTTCATTAAGAGAGTTCTTCCTTCTTTACTGATAATAATAATTAAACAAGAGAATAGTCTATCGCGCGATAATTGTATCTCGAGAGATAAAAAGTATAAAGATGGAATTTTCTAATTATTCTAATATTATGGATATTATAAATGATTATCATATTTTATGATATTTTATTTTAACAATTCTAATATTCTTGCATTCTGTCATTATATTTTATTGTACAATTATTGACATATTCTTTAGCGTTAGCGATGCATTCTTTCGGCGTTTTCGTATCCGATAGAAAATTCCATAATATCGAATATTAAGTGGCTACTTTGTCTGCCTGAAGTTGAACTTACCTATATGTGATGAACGCAAACACCAAAGCCACCAGGGACAGACTTCCTCCGAGAACGACGATGAGGCTAAGCACACCGTCCTGGTCGAAGGAACTTGCGATTCCCGTGGAAACGCCATTAGCTATTCCGCCGCCGGGCTGCGGAAAACCGTGAATCGCGCCGGTGTATAACGTCTCCATGTCGACGTTATGCCAACATCTGCGAATAGAGTAAATCCAATTATTAGACCCGAATACAAATGAAAAGCAAACATAAAGGCAGTTAGAGAAAAGAAAGGACAATTTATATACGTGAGGGAACGTGGGGACACTCGCGCTTTTGAATTTTTAATTACCGCATGTTTAATTAAGGGAAGAGAAAGATAATGGAAGATAGAAAGTGAGGTTTAATTAACTGAAATTAAATTTATGCCCGCGGCAGCGCAAATATTTTCGCCATTTACCCGGCTCCGATTAAACTAAGGGGAGAACAAATTAATAAACGTTTACGATAGCTTCGGCCTCCGTCGCCGCAAATTTTAATTAGCAGCGAAAACCATTAACTCTCGCGGGCGTGGATTTTGACAACTCGAAACGCTGGGGATATCAGGGATTACCGCACTCGAGAAAACAGTCTTGCGTAATATTTATTCGGATCGCTGCTCGCGTTACTGTTATGTTTCTGGACGATATCAGAATACGGTCCTGAGAGTGTAAACTTTGGTCTAGCGTTACTAGAACGAAAACACTTTATATCGTATATCATATATAATTTTATAATTTCATTTTCTCGTCATAATAATAAAGTACAAAGTTACTAGATGTATAATAGGCCAGTCATATTAGACAAATTTAGGGGGTTAACCTTCCAATTAATCTTCTCAGATTGCAACCACCATAAATCGCTTTACTTCGCAAAATAAATCCCCAAAATCAAAGCGATTCATGGTGGTTGCAACTGGAAAGATTAATTGGAAGGTTCGATGTCTAATATGACTAGCTATAAGATTACTTCTATTACATCTATAAATATAAAGAATAATATTAGAACCATTTATTTGACTGTAACGTAATTATATCTCTCTATAAATCTTTCCAACAGTTACAACAAATTTAAGTAAACGAAACGATAGAAAGCGCGAGGTGCTTTCTTGATGAAATAATAACAATCATTCCGACGCGCGTGTTTTAAGCTTGCATCATTTCCAACTCATAAATTTCAATCAACGCGGTAAAATCAATTACCTCCGAGGTGTATTGCTTGTCTCATTTCCACGTGTAACGATTCCCCACAAATTATTTACCCAAGCCGTGCAAACCACGATTTTAACTCATCCGAGTCGACCTCCAGCAACCGTCGGCGTCGAACTTGTTTCAATTCGTTCTACTGGCGCACGTCGACACACGACAACGCATATCTTTTTTACCAATATCATCGTCAAACCGATGTTAAAGTTTATTTTTAAATATATATATATTGTATATTTTATTTTAAAATAATGAAAATGATGTAATAAGACGATGCGTTTAACGATGTAGATATTAAATGTTTCTGTTTTTCACGCGTATATGTATACATTTGTCAAGCACTTATTTATCCAAACAAAATTGGATTTCATTATTTTCGACGTGCTGAATTCGACGTGTACGATTTTATAATTTATGCGAACGCGAACTTTATTCTGGGAAACATGGACGTGCCGCAAAATCGTATACAAGATATACTCAACGGCAATGTTGGCCGATTAAATATCATTAACTCGTTAATTGTGAGCATAACATTTACATTGTCAACTTCGGGCAACAATGTACGGGCAAAAGTTTTCCACGTAGCAGCAAATCGATCAGTCTTTCTCATGAACTCTGGCTAGCAAATGAGAATTTTAAATTGATAATAATACGCCGTGCACTAATTTTGAACTTGTTAGCTCAGCCATCAAGTTTTAATTAAATCAACCGTTTTAAAATCTTCGATCAATAATTCAAACTTTGCGGGAACATAAATGCAAATGTTCTTTCATGTATTTCTCATACTTGTTCCTAATTCAACCATTATCCAGATCCATTGTAAATGTTTCTTTTTCTCATAAGTTGCATGTACTATTAACGAAATGATAATACCATTCTAAATTTATTATTAAATAAATATTGATGCTAATACTACCACAATTTATTTATTTAATTAATGTAATTAAAATTAATTAATATAAACCTTTAACATATAAAATCGATACATTTACGAATATAATATTATTTTTTAAAGTAATTATGTTGTTTTGACAAAAATGTCTGCAAATTTCTTTGTTTGTTATTTTTGCTAAAGTCACATTCCATGCTTCAAACTTTCCACTTTATCCGCAAATTAGGCGAAGAGCGAGAAACTTTGCATGTAACATGACTTTCCTTTCTTCGTGACAATACTCTTCACGCAATAACGTTTCATCATCTATCTTGAGACCTTTCATGACGTCTTCCCCTGGGAAGCTGTATAACATTAATGGTGAAACGTTAACGGGCTTCCGAGCCTTTATCCGACATTCATGAAGTAAAAGCGCGCGAAAGTCGTGCTTCCCTCGTTTGTGCGAAATTTATTTTTGCACATAGTCGCCCGTGTATCTAATTTGCACAATATTTTCCTACACGAAAATTTTTCTCTTCTTCCTTGTCGTGTGCCGATAATCCCTTATAATATAATATAAATTATATATGCAAACTTGCAGACTGTCCCAAAAGTCATTATTCCGCCTCAAAAACAATAAAAATTTCTTTACCAATATTTAGAGTTCATTGATTCTCATATCTTTTCTAATTTTTATATTTTAATTATTAATATCTATTAAATTAGTTCCTATAATTTAAAGATAAATTTCTGAAAATACAGATTATATGAATTGTACGAGTAAATTAATCTAAAATTGAAGTTTTTTTTTATCTATGCTTAAAATTTTATAAAAATGTTGCAAATCGATATCGAAATAAAAATAGCGTAATTAATACTGATAAATTTCTGTATTTTTTCAAGTCGCAAAAATTGAAGTTGATTAAACTCCATTATTAAAGGAAGGAAAATTTGTACTTATTTTGTATGTAACTTTTTGCAACATTTATTCACCGTAAAGTGGTATTACGAAATTGGTGTACTAAAGCCGATAAAATATAACGTTTCGAACCATTAAATGTCTGATGCAATGACAAACGCGATCTACGAGCGATCGATTGCAAGTGCGACATGTCGCGTTAACTGTACCAATCAGCACCGGTTGGCAACTGGTGCAACTGCGTAATAATGTTTAACGGTATTCGATGATAGTTCCGCGTATCGATTCGTCACGTGCCGGTTATCAATCGTACACCCGAAACGCATACTGAAAATACGTGGCAATATATCGAGCAACTATTCTCAAGCCCCGAAGCCCAATTCTGTACACGCTTAACGACCGTCGTCGGTGTCGTTAACAGCGTCGGCGCAGCTTTTATACGATATGAAAAACCTGCGCAACGACGCTTATCGAACCGATAGTTGTCGGCAAGCGTGTACAGAATATGGGCCCTGTGCTCGACGAATGTTCGACGCAAGTTAATATCCACGAGCCGTTTTATTTGGTTTCCGAGCTTTACCATCCTCGAAACTTTCCGCGGCATTTTTGGACCATTCGCCGTGTGTCTGTAGAGAGCGAATCGCGGCACGATGGATTGACGATTTATCAGACTGCATAATTCGGCCTTGCAACGAACTGACATGACAGTCTTTTACCCCTTTCATGTCCAGTCAGATGTAGGTACGTTTCAACATATTTAAAAAATCATTTTTCCAGTAAATATTGAGGTCAAATAAAGCCCGAGCATTTTTTAAAGAAAATTTCTCACCGGAAAATATTATGATACTGGTTACAAGATATCGCGAGTCATTTGCGTAAAATTTTACAATTCAAATTTATGAAAATCTTTTTCACGGGATATGTCTGTCGTCAAAATATTATTTCGAAGCGAATTAACGGTGATCAATATAAAAATATATTGCCTTCTAACTTTTGTACTTTAAATACGATAAGTGCCGATTAACGATTGATATTGCAACATTTCAATTTTACATTCAACAAGAGACAACGAATATTATTTTTCCATAATATCCATTTCATTTTGCTCGTTCTATCGACGACGCACACAAGCGCCTAAAGCCTAAATTAATTACAATTTATCAAGAGACACGGTAGTGTCTCGTGCCAAGTACTTACACGCGGAGCGAGACTGACCGTGACTCTTTTACGGGACGCGACGGGTTGCGAGTACCCGAGATGTTGAGATCTCGATAACGAGTGAACGTATATTTATACTTACATGTTACACATATGTGTGTCTATCAATGAGTGCGTTATCATCGTTTTTTTTTATACACATTTCATTTTTATATTCTTTTTTACGACGTAGCGCAATCGATCGACGTCCAACGCGTCAAATAGAGACTAAAACCACAGTGTTTTTCCCAGCTGAGATGAGAGTTAAGACTTACCTCACGCTTTTAACCAATATTATTTCGAAGCAAACAGAAATATATTGACTTTTGTACTTTAAATACATAAAATGTCAATTGACACTGCAACATTTCAAGCAAAAATTTTACATTTAACGAGAAACAGCGAATATTACTTTGCATAAACATCCATGTTTATCTTGCTCGCTGTTATTGACGCCGCAACTGCCTATATAAATTGATTACAATTTATATATTCGTATATACTTACACACATACTTGTCTATGAATGAGTGCGCTATATTGTCGTTTTCTTTATACATATCTCATCTTAATTTATTCACGACGTAGCGCAATCAATCGTCAATCGGCGTCAAATTCAACGCGTCAAACAGAAACTAAAATTCTTATGTTTTTCTTAACTGGAGAGTTAAAAAGACTTACCTCGCGCTCTTGACAAGGACGCGTCGAACGACAAGATGGCAGGATCGACGGATCAACGGACGGACGCGGCTACGTAGCTCGTGTTTCGCGGCAAACGATCCATGTGGACGAGCCACGTGTAAGCGCGAAACGGTCCGCACGCTTCGCGTGCCGCGACGAGACCGGCACCGGCCGGCACGTCGAACAAAGGGAGACGACGCTCGCCCTTATCGCTCCGCGACCGCGGCACGATCGAGGACGCCCTGCCGCGCGTCCGAATTCATGTAACTACGTCTGTTACGCGCCTCTCTCTGAGTTTCCTGCAGGCTCGCCGAGTTCCTTTACTTCTTTCGCCGTCGGTTCCGTCACCGGTGGAGAACGTAACGTGTCTGCAAAGATTTTACACAACGATGAAAAAGTTGATAAAGCAAGCGAGACCCGCTTAACGGATTACTCCATCAAATATGGCGTCGATCGATAATTCGCGAGAACTGAAATTCGAATCGAATCGCATCGCGGTGTCTCGAAAGGCGGGAGGGGGGGGGAGTTACTTTCGCCGAATTCAAATTACGATACCGCGCGCGACGTGCCGATCTCAGCCGGCAAATATGGCGGTTGCGAATTCAACGGAATCTACCCCGAATGTCCAGTGGGCCTCGTCGCGGCGAGATTTTCGCGACTCTCGCTCGCCGCGACGAGATCGAATGCCCGCGCCGATAGAAGTAAATTCACATCGATGCATGCGATTTAGCGTTGAACGCGACCACATCTGACAACAATAAGTCTAATATACTCGACTCGAGTGTCATGTTCAATTAAATCGAAAAAATGCGATGAGATTTTTTACCGTGCCTCTCGTTATCGTCCTCGCAAGCGCGACCGTCAAGATTCCACGCGAGATTCCGACTCCCGTTTTCGTTTATACCAGTCACTCGTCACCGCTTGTCAACATTGTTCTTCTCGAATCGCGCCTCGCGGTGAAGCGTCCAGGAAGCGCGGCGTCGACCGACGGCTAACTCAACTTGTCGTCAGTGGCGAATCGCGATCGCGGGCGAAATAAAAACCGGATTAATTCACGAGCCGATCGGTCATATCCCTCGATAGATCGCGGACGGGCGAGCCGGAACGGGAAGCGAATGCGAACGCGACGGACCGCGGATCACGACTGCGAGGAACTCCGTTCGCGCTCCGCGAACGCGCGCGCGGAACTGCGCCGCGCATGTACGCGCGTCACACGCCGTGAAGTTTGCCCAATCTCTCTGAGGGGAGCCGGGGCATTCGATTGCGTACCTATACCGGCGCGATTCTTTCGCGTCTTAAAAATTACTCACTTTCGTAGTTCTAATTAACTCTTAAACGCGCAATTTTTCGTAACATTCTATTTTTTTTAATAAATAATGATTTTATACACTGTTAAATTCATAATATCAATTATCAAATTATATCTAATTTGAGTTATTTAATTTTAACTATTCCTATAAGTCGTCATTGCTCCTACTCAATATGCCGGTTAATTTAACTAAACCAATAATTAAAATATTACTGTTTTGTATTAAAATAATAAATTTCTACACACACATGGTAGTTAAAAGCAACAAAATATTATTTAACTCAAGGTATTAATTTAAATTGGTCTAAATTCTTTAATATTTAATACAGAAAAGGTCCTTTATATACAGATGTGCAAAGTCACGCGTTTTCAGTTTAAAAATAACTTTATAAACGAGAGTGCGCGAAAAGTCGCAAAGCTGCACTTAAAAATTAATTATTTCGAGGAATGTATTAAGAAGTATGCTCGCGAAATTGCAAAAATGTCACGTAGAAGATCGAAAGATCGTTTCTTCCGACCCACGCTCAAGTTTGGACAACGTAGCTAAATTAATTATTTCGAGAAACGTTATTAAGAAGCATGCTCGCAAAATTGCAGAAACATTATCTAAAGATTCTTCTCGTTTCTTCCGACCTACGCTACCAAAGTTAGACGACAAAGTTTCCTCATTGTAATTGAGTCAAGAGTTAAAAGTTCACTAAAGATGTTGAAATATATCGATAGAAAATTCAGAAATGTATCTTTCAGTTAATGTCATTAATCTTAGAAAATACAATAAATATACGTTTCAAAATATTTCATTACTACCGGAATACTTCGCATTATCATGCCCTTTAAATTTTTCTTGAACGTTATATCTGTGTTTGGCTTTTTTGCATATTTTCATTTCCGATGCGTGACGGATCTCGGTGCTGTGCAGTTACGGTACGGTAAATGAAAAAAAAAGAACAGAAAAACAAACGGATATTCGAAATAGGTCGCGTTTCCGTGCTCGAAAAATCGCGTAAAATTATATCGCGCGAGTTGGATTTATGGCACGAAATTTTTGCGCACTGCACGTGGCGCAATGTGGCAATAACAATATTTCGTGCGTGCGCAAAATAACTCGTCAACAACATGTTGCGAGCGAAAATCACTGACTACTTAATCCTTCGCAAAATTTCAAATTAATTTAAAGTTTCACGACTGACGCGACTTCAGCCCGCTTAACTTTTAATAATCCAATAATTTAAAATAATTTTAGTAACTTGAAAGTAAGCTAAAAATCATAGTTTATATTTTATTATAATAGTGATATTGTGTCGTTTTTCAATATAGTAAATAATAATTATAAGATAAAAATAGATAAATAAGTAAAATAATTTGTTTGCGTATTTAATACCCGGCAAAAAATTTAAAAAATTTTTAAAATTTATTACTTAATTTTTACTCGCAAATAAAATCGGCAAACTATTTTTTTTATAAAAATAAATTTTTAATACAATTCAATTTTATTAAAAAAATAATTGTCGAGTAATAAAATTAGTAATCATTAATATACTTAAGCACTCAAATAGTACGTGTTTGTTGGATAAAGTTCTATGGGAAATAACGAATTCGATAGAGATTTAACATCTTACAGTTAATACTAATATTATTGCCATTCTTTTTTTGAGTGCGATTTTAATTCTTCCATCGATAGATCGTCAATAGATCGTCGACGAATTACGGGAGGAAATGTCTGCCTGTCGCTCACGAGAGCGGAAAATTTGCGGTCACTCGCTCGCGAGCAACGGGCCAAGATTAGATATCACCATCGGGCGAGATGGTGGACGACCATTGAGAGTTATGGTAATGGAACGGAGGTGGATGACCCAATTTCGAAAGGACAAAAGGCCCACCCTCGTTGCGCCAGGACAATGTGCCTGGATGTAACAGCAACGTTCAAAAAGACGGGTCTTTGAGCACTATCGACCCGCTGATTTCCAGCCTTCGCGCACAGACGAGAAATCAGATGCCAGTTGCACAATTAACATTGGCACTAAAAACAAATTTCTATTTTTGTATAATGAAATAGATAAACTAGAACATGAATAATTCAATTTCTATAATATAGTAATTTATAATTTGTAAAGTCTATATTAAAATAAAATAATCACGTTGCGTTTGCTAATTGTTAGTTATATAAGGGGTCTCACATTAACAAATTACGCAAGCCCCGTGAGATTTATAGCCAACCCTGACATCCCCAGTTGTCGCAGCGTGCGCCTGACAGTGATAACGGTGCGCGTTATATTACTTCAGCAAGATGGAAAAGCACCCTCGGGGTGAATCTCAGAGACACGGACATTCGAAGCTGTGACATACTTCAACATGATTTTTTTAAAAAGCTACTTCGCGAGCGTCTTAAAATTGAATGCGTGTTAATTAAGGCGAAACGCGATCCTCGTTAAACCAGTGTTTATTAACAAGTTAGACCATCAAAAGAAGAACCACTCAACGAAGGTTCATTACTTTTAGCAAACATATTGATTGACATAAGCCCAAATTGTCTCGCTTGAGATTGATATCTAACTACTTATTAATATCTTATTTATTTAGAACAACACGAGCCAAACGTGTAGAAAAAAAGTTTAAATTATTCAAGCTAAATAGCTTTTCAATTAACAGTTTACTCACATGTATCTGATAGGAGAGCGTGACTTCGATAATGCATATCTCATTGCACGACTGTCTACCGAGACTGAAGGTACGATAATCTGATTTCATTGTATGGGACAGGGCAATAGTCCAGCATTCGGAGTCGCGGGGATGGAACAAAATGGATAACGTAATTTGCGAGGGACAAAAGAGAGCTACAAACTTGGCGCATAACAAGGAGTGCCCCGGAGGTTTCGACAAAGCCGTGTCCCCCCGCTGACCTCGACGAGCTATCTCGACGCGTACAAACGAAGAGATGGGAAACACGGCGTGAAGGAACGTTGCCGGTGTGAATATCGATTATAAAATAATCGAATAATCATGTATTTAATAATCGTCGTGTACAAAAAGTTAAAATTTATTTTTCTACTAATAAAATACTCGTCCATATACATATCCGAAGCGAATCATACGCGAATCACACATATACAAAACAAGAATGCTTCATATTATAATATACAACAATATATATACATATATATGTATATGCACAAGAATTAATAATTATATTTACAGAAATTTATCTCAACAAAGTCATACTTTCGCAATTATCGCAGTATTGTTAATTACCTATTGTGCCTCAGTCTATGGATCGTCATCGTCACAAAATTCAATCTCGTGATATGTTTCTGCTATCCAGCCAAGAAGGTACTTGACTTTCTCTGTCGCTTCGTCATTGGCTTTGTAACCCTCAATGGCCTCGGACAGGCACTTCGATAAAAGTTTTAACAAAGGCTGTGAACGAAAAAATCGATGTTAACAGTAGATATACGATACGCGTCAGGAATTTAAAGCAACGCTTTAAAACACGAGTCGTTAAGAATACTTCGTGAAAATATACTGTCCAATTATATATCACATACTTATATCTTCAATTTTTATATTAAAAAAATCTTTTTAAAAATTTTATATATTACTTTTATAATACAAAAATTACAGAAAATAATACGAATATTTTTTACTTATTTTATTTATTTCATTGTCTCATCTCAAATAATTATATCGCGCGTACACTTACCACAGGCCAGTCTTGTCTAAATAAAGCCACACACTGATCACTCAGACTGTCTCCGTCGAGTATATTTGTTTCTAATAACTTCTTCAGAAATTTGCCAAAAATCGGCCACGTTGCGTCGTTCTGCGGTTGCATCAGTAATATAATATTTCTTGAACACAGAATTCTATGCATAGGCGATTCGTCTTCGTCATTTCTTAGATTATCCGACGACCATATTTTAATTAATTTGTCCTGGACCTCTCGCGTAAAGAGATCCGTCCTGTACGCCACTAAAAATGTGAAATATTGTGGTCGTGTAATTTTATCACTCTTGACATTTCAGTTATTCTTACACATACCTAAAAACAGCGCGAAATCCAAACTGAGGAAATACAAAATTTTCTGTGGGCCCGGTAATAAATCACCTCTTTGACTGAACGATTGATACAGTTTGTCTAAAATATCCAATACAGACGATATAGTTAAATCTGCGCCGTTGTTATCTAACATATGCCACATTAGTGCCTATAAACAAAAACAGGTAGAAATATATGTAAATATTAATAGTTTAGTCATTAATTTTAAACACGATAGAAATTAATAATTGTTTTAGTTTGGAAAAATGTATTTCTTACTCGAAGCTCGTCCATTATAACAGTAGGGCTAGGAGCATCTGTATTGTGATCCTTTTCTTGCTTATTAGAATGCACAGGACTACTGTTCCGAAAGAACCTATTAATCTCAAGTTCCATGTCCTTTATAAACAAAGAATCACCGGCAATATGCGATTGAATCCACTGATTTATCCGTTCCATCGCCATTCTAGTCGCGATCTTGATGCACATTTCCTTCACCGACGTTAGAGAGTCTTCTGCCAATAAAGATTCTATCGATGCCGCGACTCGCGTCTCGCAAATCGTCGGGATTGTTTTCTCACACTGATCCTTCAATTCTCTTGACGCATTGTTGGCCAATGTATTCATGTCGCTCAGGAGCAAAGCCTAAATACATACTGCGATTTAAACGCTTAATCTCTTCCTGTATAACATGAAGTTTTCCTTACAATCGCGCGGAGATATCACCTTAAATTCGTTGAAGTAATTTCTCGACAGTTCACCCTGCTCATCCGAGTCCCTCTCGATGTTCTTGTGTTTCAAAATCTTCCTGAAAGAATTTAAATTTGCTTCTCGTGATGAAGTCAATAGAGTGTTGCATATATGTTTCACGCAGGTTGACGCGACTCTTTCAGAAACGAAATCAACAGTCTTTCGAGTAGAAGCCGGCTGACCGTGGAAAAAGGCTTCTTCCAGTTGCAGCTGCAAAAACAGTAATACATATAGCAACATAGTAGCAAGAAATATACGATATATTAAACAAAAAATACCTCCAGGTGTTTTGCGCGAGTAGTACCCCCTAATTTACGTAATTGGCTGGTAACGGGTGTAATGTGCTTGTTGGAATTGACATTCAAACTCGTTCCGTTTCCGTGAAACACAGAAAGAGTCGATTCCACTCGCGGACAGCACATACGCATCGTGCGATCAGTAATTATATCTAATTTATCGAGACTGCTTTTGACGGGAATCGCACAATCGGCGGAATGCGAATTTCTTTTCTTCTCCATCTGTTTTGTTGAGAATTTTTCCATCTGTTTGAGACTCTTCAGTTCCTTGATCTTGCAAGTCTTTTGCCAGGCAATATAGAAATCTCTGGGAAAGTTTGGTAGCTCGAACAACCAACACAGACTGGACTTGAGCAGCACAGCCGATTGTTGAGAAATAAGGCAATCAGAAGCGGTAAGATCGGTCTGATTGATAGCATGATAAATGTAATACAATAGTTCTAAGATCTGCTTATAATACGGCAGTCGAAGCGACACTATGTCCATCATGGCTAGATATTTTACTAGCCAAGGTATCGTCAGCGATAGTTTACCTTCGACTATGGCGCTCTGAATACACGCTTGTAAGTTCAATGATGGTAATACCTGGAGAATGAAACAATTGAAAAGATTATTTGAAGAGAATTTAAAAGGCTGCTTTTAACGTTTAATCACAATTTTTATGTCACCGTACCTTGCTTCTTATCTCTACTTGTGTCATTAAAATCTCCTTAGTGGTATTGGATTCAGATCTGTATGGCAATGATACTAAAAGTCCTAATACTTTCGCAAGAAGTCTCAAGCTGGCTAAACAAGTAATAAAATTCCGCTGCGTTTGATCGTCAACCATTGTCTCTGCGAAGAGAAAAAAGCGGTATTTCTAAAAATTTTCATTAAATATAAACGGTCATTTTAAATCGCAAAATCAATGAAAAATGTACCCGAGTCTTCTATTTCACTATTAGCAAACTGGGTGTCGTTCAACTCCATTATCTCATGTACAAAACAGTTCTCCAAATGCGTATAAAATATCGGATTAAACGCATGCAATATAAAATCTTTGAAAAATTCCTGCATGCCGGGAAACGAAGGGCCGACACTCTGACTTTGTGACGGTAATGGTGTCACAAATCTCTTACTGAGTTGAGTCAATTTTTCAGGGTTAACGTGTTTTAAAGCTTTCAGGAAATTCAAGCTTTCGTCGTCCACTACGTCATCCTGCAATCAATGATACACGATTGCTTTATTATTGAGCAAATTACAGCGACATAATAAAGAAAGAATATTAATAGCTTTGGACTTACTTGACGTCCATTCTGTATGCACGATATTAGCAATTGTGACTTGAATAACCTAGCGATGTGATAATAATTCGTGCAGTCATTATGCAGCGTCAACATGTTTCTTATCTTGCCACCAAGCGCGATCTGGAACACCCATCCTTGGACCAAATGATTCTCCTCCCAAATTCTTAGTATGTCGTAGAAGGCATCTCTCTGCTTTTTGAAGGTGTGGAACGCGATGGCAGACGAAAAATTCTCCCGATTGTCGGTGTCGATTTGAAAAGACACGTTTACCTCGCCCATCGTGCACGTCAATTTTTATTGGGCTGTAAACAATAATAAACACTTAAATTATTTAAATAAACAATTAAAATATTAATTAACAAGATATATATTAAATAATTTTAACTTGCTGTTAATTTACAATTGATGTTAATGTACAAATGACAACCTGTTCGCCGGTCAAGTATCTCGATCTTGTCAATTAAACATTTTAACATCGTAAAAACATTTATTTTTCCTGTCCACAATTTTGGAGGTTAAATCCTCCTGGCATGTCGGAGAAAATGCCGAATATTATCGAGGAGTGAGATTTCAATTAGACAGAGGTGCAATCGGCGTTGTTATACAATCTTCAAATGTACACTGAACATTTTTCGGTATAGAGATTGTATTTCCAAACATATGGATGCGCATCACCGCGTTCTATTAATTTTTTACTCGCTTTACAACCGGGTCGGCTAGGTTAGGTTAGGTTAGGTTAACAGACATCGGAGTGATCGTGGAGATAAAAAATATCGAGATAAAGAATATCGATATTATCGACTACAGATATAAAATTATATCTGAATAATTAGTTGTGTATTAGTTCATGATTTATTGTTGCACAGGTGCTTCATAAATAAGAATTCATATTTACGCAATAATATTATATATTGCCACGAAATTACAGTTATTACTCGATAGATAAAAATCCAGATGATAATAATCAAATTGCAATTTTAAATTTTAAATATTGGGGCCTATATGTATATGTATACATGTTTATGAAACAATAGGATAATCACATGCAAAATAATCATAAAATACATGATTATCCCGAAAAGTAACGCTATTTTCCGATCAATTAGTGTGGGAGCACTTGGTGAAAAAACTCGACTTCGTTATATTTGTTTAATAAAAATATTTAAATGTTTAACAATGGTGTGTATAAGACTGAGATCTCAATAAACAAATATATATTTAAAAGACTGATACGTGTTTCAATACAGTATTAAGCAAAGTTTGGTCGATAAATAAATAAATCGAGATTAGCAATATTAAATAAATCGAAATTGACAATAAAATGAAGTTGGCAGCACGGAGTAATAAACTCTCACTTGACTCTCACGGAGTCGCCGCACAGGTCGCTACTCCGACCGCTCCGACGTCCCCGACGTGCATAGAACTGCATAGAACCGAGAGACAGAGAGCAGAGGCAGAGGCAGAGAGGGCTGAGCCACGATAGAAAAAACAGAGAGAGAGAGAGAGGGAAGGAAAGGAGGTCGAGCGTCGAGCAGGGAAAACGGGGAGACATAAATTCGCGCGCGTGAAGGGGCTCAACGACGACTCAACGTCGACTCCGGAGTAGACCGGAGTATCATGCGAGTGAGGTGCACCGACGATCGGAGGAATTGTCACGAGTCGCTATCGATATCCGCTCGGGCGGCGGTCACGCCAGTATCGATACCCGCGTCGCGTCGCCGCTCCCGTGGCAGGGGCAGGACTGGCAGGAGGTGGTGGTAGTCGATGACGCCGATGACGCCGTGCCGCCGCGAGTCGTGCGTACGCAAAATATAACCTCTCCGGCGGCGTAAGATGCGCCAGTCCTCGCCGATCCAGCCGGAGACACCGCTGTTCCATCGCGAAACCTGAATTTCCCGCCTGGGGCACACACGCGCGTCCTTTCCAAGCGCGTTCGAAGCGCGTCGTCCGCATCGTCCCCGACTCCAGACTCGCGCGCGAGATCCCTCGTCGGCCGCTTCATCATGAAAGTGATCGTGAAGAAGCTGCAGGGGAAAGAGTGCGTCGTTGACGTGAGTATACGGCATGGCTGTCGAGCGGCGCAACCGCCTCCCTCCGTTTTCCCGCGAGGCATCCGCGATTTCCTCCCGTGATCTGAACCTCGCCGTCGACTAATATTTGCAATCGTGAAACCAAGTTGACTTTCGTCGTTATCTTAAATAATTTTGTGCGCTCGAACGTCCGTTAAGCGAGAAACTAAGATAGCCATGGTTCGTCTTTCGGATGAGTCTTCCTTCTAACGTTTAGTCATTTTTCCTCTCAAGTCTTGAATGTCTCCTTTTTTTTTTTCGAGAATCTTGTAGAAATTTTCTTCAAATTGTTATACACGTGATTTTAGATATTACCGTCAGAGACAGTGTTGGAGTTGAAGCACAAAGTGAGCGACCTCTTGGGCATTGATGTACCACAACAAAGATTGTTGCTCACTGGGAAGACCTTGGCGGGTAAGGACATTCTAGATTTTATCTAGCGTTACCCAGGTAGCAATTAATGTCTAAAAGACATCATAAAGACATCTTTAAGATTTCTGGCATCTTAAGTTGCGGCCCACTTGACGCTACAAATACTTTGGAACGTTCTTCTTCTCCTTCTTTCTTCATTGAAAGAAAAGAGAAGAGGAATGCTTCGAAGCATTTGTAGCGTCAAGTGGACCGCAGCCTTAAAGACATCTTTATGATGTCTTTTAGACATTAATGCTACCTGGGTATCGTTACGATTTCTCACTATAACCGTTTCTGTTTGATGACTTCAGACGAGAATCCGCTGAGTTTTTATCCCGGAATCAAAGATGGCAGTAAATTAAATCTCTTGGTGATCAAGAAGGCGGAGGAGGGCTCCAGCGAGGCGAGGGCCTTACCCCAACAGAAAACGGGCATTCATCTGCTGAGAGAAGAGGTCTCGCGAGTGCTCAGGCCGTACTACACGGTGTCCGAGACCGAGTCCATAGTCAACGAGCTGATAAAGGACTTGAAAAACAAAGTGAACAATCTTAGTTACGATGATCTAGAGAGACTAGCCACCGCGTTGCTCCAGGACCAAGAGAACGTAGCTTAAGTATCACTCAAGGTTATCCAATTTTCGCTTACCGATTGATTGTTGTAATACGAGTTTATTTAATTCAAGCATTGCCTTATATATCGAGCCCCCCTCTAATAATTGGTACTGTGTAATTTAATGCGCGATGCGTAATGATTAAGCGAGACTCGAGAAACTTAACTGTACTATTCTCTACGTTTGAAATTAAGGTCAGGATATAATCTTGTGTGGAGTTTATTAAAAAAAAAAAAAAATCGTATGTATACAGGTATATGTCATACCGCGTCATAATAATTATATCATATGCACGATGGGAAGTTGTCAAGGATCTGCCAAGTCCAATTGACGAAAGTATCTCGCTACTAGACAGATGAATAAATTCAGCGCCCCTAGTTCCTGCGCGTCCAATTCTCTCTAAAAAAAAAAAGAAAAGAAGAGAAGTAGCGAGATGGCACAGACGGCGTTAGTAAATTCTGACGTGGACTTTTGTAGATATTAACGAGACGACGAGCTAGATATAGAAGAAAAGTTCAGTCTTATTTTCTCAACATTTTGTAATCCGACAAACGCGAGTTTTTATTATCGCCTGAACCTTTTCTAATATCGGGAACGACATAGCAGCAGCGTAAACAGGAAGTTATGCAATAAAAATGTTTTGTTAATAGAAATTCAGCGTTAATAGAAAGCCTTTCCCTCTTGTCCCCCCTCTCTTCGTTCCTCCATATTATTTTAACAATATCAGTAATATGTCAGCTCCTAACGATAATCTAACTGAACTTTTCTTTGGAAAATTTAAAAATTAATGCTTTGGAATTAAAGGAACCAATATTTTTTTATAGTTTAATAAGTGGAAATTCTATCTTATGAAAACATTCTATTCTTATCTATTCTCTATCATTTACCATTCTAGACGAAAAATATTGACTCGTACTCTATGCCTTTAGGATTAAATGCAACTAAATCTTATCCTGAATTTTTTTAGACTTTTTAGACTTACTACACATACTACATAGTTCGAGTTAAAGAAAAGGATAAACATTTTAATCTTTTACTTGTTTAAAGAATATATCTTTCTTTATGTTATCGAAACACGTTCGATCTTGAAATGTTTGCACGCACTTTTTGCAAATGCACATCGTGTGAATAAAAAAACAATTGAATTAAGCCTGTTGTCATAAATAAGGCAAAGCACAAAACGATATTGGTTGATTTAATTCCAATGTGTTAGAACGGAATTAGCTTGATCAAATAATGAATATTACAGAATCGGCGCGAATGACGGAACACGCTCGTGCTAATGAACGCAGGCAGGAACAAGTGTCGGGCTGCAATGGTTGCTCCAAGATCGCGAGTAACGCGTAGATCCACTGGCCTATTATGTATTCGATTTTCCTTTCAGTCTCCACGAATTGCACCAAATATTCAAGTACTTGCTCCACGTTTGATTGATTAAAACAGAACAGGGTATTCAATGTAGGTTTGATCTTCTCCTCGCTACCTAAACAGAAGCCGACCCAAGCATTTTGATCGTCTATGTCTGGCTGCAACGTCGAAGAAAAGCCAAGTTGAACAAAATAACTCTAAAATTTCAAGTTTCAGACAAGTGTACTCAAACCTACATACCAAATGAATGTCAGGTGGTCTCCACTTGCGCTTGCCTATCAGTATCTCGTCCTTCAGTTGGCTTATGTACAGTCTTAACTTGGAGAAGTCTGAAACCTGATATTGCTGCCATTCCACGGTTGGTTTGAGGCTTGCCGGCGCTTGAACACACCCTGCTAACTTTTAGCAGTCACATTGACTCCATAGTTGTGAAATTTATGCGTGATTTATTAGGAATTAAAACTTACGGTCTCAACGTAAGCCTTCGTGGGCTCCTTCATACACGACGGATCCAAATCGGCCACCACTACGTCCGCACACTGTCTAGCTTCTATTCTGCAGCATCAATCAAACAATATTTAATCGTTAGCTCATTATTTTCCAATCGCAAGTGCTGTGTTCATTATTAGCCATCTCTCTTCAACAAAGAAGATATATGTTTGCCGTTTTGTGAGAAAAAAGAAGAAAAACATAGAAAGCATGAGACTTGACATCTCTTATTTACAACATATAAACTTTTTTCTATTTTTACCACATAAATCAAGTTTATATTCAGTTTGAGGAAATAAAGGTGAAAACTGTAGGAGAATGTATGTATATGTATATAAAAAGAATTGAGCTGCAATACAATTCCCCTTAGATACACTTTTCCTGAAAGGGAAGGAGGAGCTGAGAGAAGAAGACACCAGCTTACACCACTCGTTTAATATACTCCTCCCCGGAAGAAGCTGGCACCGACAGATTGATGTCCTCGTCGATATCTCCTACTATAAACGCCGGCTGTTTCAGGAAATCCATCATAATTCGCCGGTGGGAGATTCTTGCATTTCGGATCGCAAAGTTCGAATGTGAGGTTAACTCCGCGCGGTTCTCACGGGGCACGTCGCGATTAACATCTGCGGCTGTCCGCAAAGATGTCTCCGTCTATTCGAGAGCGAGTCTCGGAATTAACATTAAAAAATTGAAGCAAAAGGAAGAAAATATGTAAAAATATTTGTAGCGTGCACTCTCTCCCCCCCCCTTCCAGTAATATTTACAAATACGATTTTCGAGACCGACTCTCGATAGCGCTTCTCGATACTGCAGCGAACGGCATTTACGAACATTTCGGGGATATTTTATTAATTCGAGCTTATATATTTTATGAAGAAGATCAAAAGAAGTAAAAGACGAGTCTTTCGCGTAGTTTTGCGTATTTCTTGTAGAAGAGCGCGAATATTGCAAAGAACAAAAATAACACACTTTAAAAATGAAATTGGAATGTAAGTTTTGCGAGTCAGGGATTCGATTCTTGAAATCTTGATCTTGAATTCATTCGCGAGAGAAACGCGTGCGTAAATTTCGCTCTTATAGAAAAGTTGCAAGTTGATTGGCGATTGATTGACTATTGCACGGCTTTTGACCAATCAACTTGTAGATTTTTCGTATGGAAGAGGGAGAGTGCCTTGCCCCCCTTCCGTACGCCGTAAGACGAGCTAGCCAATCAGGAACGAAAGTCAGATTTATGAAACTTTACGACACGGAATACGGATCCGTCACGGAAATCGTAGGAAATTGTGCAATGTGTATATTGCAGTCGTTTTTGTGAAAGGGACGAAGCGGATGGACTCGGTGGTGGAGAATATCCGCGAATAAATCAGAATGTAAAAAACATATACGGCATCGCTGCGCCATTCCGCGGTCTCCTCGCGCCCCGGCGTAATGATTTGAACCAGCTTTCAGGCGCCGAGCGGACTTTGCCATTTAAAGCTAACCTCTATCAGCAGTCCGATCGCAGTCGGAACTCCGGGACGAGAGACACGGGACGTCGGATGGCCGCGATGGACGAGGACGCGAATCGACTGAGTAAATACATGAAGCATTCGCTGAAAACGGCGCCGAAAACAAACGTAAGAAACGTCTGGATTCGAGAAACGGAGAAGACATCAAGGGCGACTTCGATCAGACTCCGATTAACTTGCCTGATACCTGCAATTATTTTGTTAACGTGGATGGAATTGTTAATTTTCTTATTAATTAATTGATTAGGAACGACGAATTGTATCGTTGGAAATTTTACTGTAAGCATTTTGTCAATTGAATTCATTGGAATTTGATCGCCGTCGCCCAAAGTCAAACTGTACTTCCAATTAGGAACTTAGTAATTATATACATAAGCTTATATTAAGCTAAAGATGATTTGATTTAAGTGCATTATTCGATTAAGCGTACAAGATGCGCGGAATATTGGCAGGTGCTGGAATGTCGTGTTTGCGAGGAGGTTTTCACGGTGGACGGCGTGAAGGTGCCGCGTTTGTTGCACTGCGGGCACACGGTGTGCCACTCGTGCTTGTTGCGGTTGAGGACTTGCATGTCGGAGCAGCAGTTCCTGCTGTGTCCCTTTGATCGGCAGCCCACCGCCATTCACGAGAACAGCGTCTACAGCCTGAAGAAGAACTTTGCGCTTATCGAGCTGCTCGAGCGACTCGAGCAGTCCAGCAGTCAGAAAACGTTGGTACTGGAGCGCGAGAGGCTTCAGTCGAATCTGTCCTGCGACGAGGATGAGGCGCACACCGCAGTCCTCTACTGTACCGTCTGCGCCACGCATCTGTGCGAGGCTTGCGACACCACCACCCACTCGTCCAAGACGCTGGGCAAACACAGACGCGTGCCGCTGTCGGAGAAGCCGCGCGAGAAGCCTCGTTGTCCGATACACACGGCGCACGTGGCCGAGTTCACGTGTACGCAAGAAGGCTGCCACAACTCCTTGATGTGCTATTTATGCAAAGAGTACGGCAAACACAGTACCCACAAGGTAACATCATCTGTAATCTCCTTCTTTGTCCGTACATTCCTGCCATATCTTATCTATGTCTTAAATTATAGCCGGCTTTGGTCGAGGAAGAAGCAGAGAACATCAGAAAGTCCATTATTGCGGCATTGCAGAAGATGACTCAGTTTATGGAGAGCATGAGAGATACCGCACACAAGATAGGTATTTGTCTGTTTTTTTTCTCTAAAATTGTATCTACTATATCTGTTCAAATTAGATACAATTTAGATTTAGAAAAAAGAATATACGGCCAAAATAATTCAATAAAAATTGTTTGAAAATTCTCAGTATTTTGAAACGGTTTTCTAAACCGTATTTCCATCGTTTCGTCTTTTTTCAATTTATACCCTTGTATTTTCAGAAATAGTAATCGAAGAATTGGAAGGTTGGGCGATCGAAGATGCGAGGAGGAGAGTACGATATCATTTTGAGGAATTACGCGCTGTTCTGGCCGAACAGGAGAAAACAGCGATGGCGTACATCGAGACGGAGACTCGCGGTAGACTTTGCGCGCTGAGGCAGCAGCAGAAGGATCTCACGACCACGAGGTCGCAAGTGGCCGGTGTGTGCATCCAATGCGAAAGCATACTTGATTCCGAGGACTGGAAGTTGTTGAGCAGCTCGGAAAAGGTCAAGGAAGTGCTGGCGACATTGGAGCAACAGCAGCAACATTATGCGCAATTAGGACCGGATTTTCTCAGTCCCGAGTCCTCTATTCCTATTATATTTAGCAGGGTTCGTAAATAATTTTTATTTTGAATTATATAACATTCTGATTACCAGATTAGTTTTTTAAATTGTAGGATAAACCTTTTTATTTTATAAGTAGAAAGGGCTTTTTATTTTAAATAATTTGGTTTAGAACGATATTATAAAATAATTCTAGTAAATTTATATATTGATCTTCGTTTTTTTTTAGTATTTCAAATACTTTCAGTTTTTTCAACAAAAATAGTCTCAGTGGTATTAAATTATCTTGCTCTATCTAATATTTTATCTTTTTATCTTAACACATTTCATAAATTCCTTTCTATCGCTTTATTTTTATGATAGGATAACAGGATACACATTGGGACGAAGATCGATATGCGCGTAGTGATCCTGGGATTAGATGGAGCAGGAAAAACGAGCATTTTATCTGCCATGCGAGGCGTTACGCTGCCAAGTCCACCGATTCCCACTATCGGTTTCAACGTTGAAAGCTTGGAGTACATGAATCTTGTATTTACTCTCTGGGACGTCAGCGGTCATCAAAAGTTCAGGCCACTGTGGAAGCATTATTACCATAACACGCAAGCAATTATTTTCGTGGTTGACGCTAGCGATAGGTCTCGCTTCGAAGAGGCACGAAAAGAATTATCGAAGATACTTTATGAACGAGAATTGAAGGATGCTCTACTTTTAATCTATGCTAATAAACAGGTAAATATAACGTTTTCTCATTTACATCGTAAAATTTGTTCAATAACATGTAATATTTTTTTCACGTTGATATCGCATAATACGATTGTAATTTAATTATATAATCAAATTATATTATTATTTGGATTGTATTGCATAAGAGTTCCAATCAAAAAAATATTTTTACAGGACGTTCCTGGCTGTGCGAGCGTGGAGGAGCTGATCGATGTATTCGGTTTGCATAAACTTTGTTGTGCGAGAATATGGCACATTCAGGGCTCGTCATTAGTTAGCAATGCCAGTGGTACATTGCAGGGTCTCGACTGGCTTTCGACACAATGCGTATAGAATTTTCTTTCTTTTATAAAATTAATTATGGAAAAAGCCGAGGAGACACGTTTCACGCTAATTAGTGGCGACTTAAACGCAAGGACGAAGCAGACTGAAGTTAGATAGGTAGATAAAAATCACGCAAAATAAGTTATTTTTACGTATAGTCAACGTCGAAAATGATTTGTTTTCTAACTATTTCACAAAACAAATTCTATCGGATGTCGCATGTAGGAGAATTACATCAAAACGTAGTATCTCAAACATTTCGACGTCGACCATACTTTGATAAAATTATTATTTTTGTTATTTATAATGTAAATCTTTTTTTTTTTTTTTATTCGCTCTGTGAGCGAATGTGTCACAAATTTATCTTATATCGTCGCAGATCTGTTAGCTCGTCAATTCACGAGATAAACTTGTTCTATTAAACCGAATAGGTACATTTATTACGCCAACAAATAATTAACAATTAAGACTTTTCAATCAATTGGCTATCATCGCCATGACAAATCGATCATTAGTTTTGGGCAGATTAATCATCAAGAATTTCGACTCTGGCTGAGGTAATATTTTTCGCAATAAATTAAATTATTTAAATCCGATGGTTATATATAAATTTCAAAAACAAATACATCAATTTAGAAGGACTAAAACCCATGGTCGAAATGTCTTGATGATTAATCTGACCAAAACCAATGGTCGATTTCTCATGACGATGAGCCAATCGAGTCGATTAAAAAGTTTTGATTGTTATTCTATTAAGTCACGCTATACCAAAAAAGAAAAAAGTAATTCGTAAGTCACACGAGATAGTTGTTTCGAAGAAAAATGATGTCAGTTTATTTTCCGATATAAAAGTGGAATTACACAAGATTAACCATACGCGAACATGATATAATAAAATAGCGTGTATATGCATGTATGTACATATACAAATGGTAATAACTGGAAGCTATTTGCACAATCGATTCGTACACATTGCTACAAATGATGAAAATGGATCAGCAACAGGACTGGGTTTCGCTTGAGACCCCGCGAAAATAAACGCCTGAGCACATCTAGAAAAGTCTTATTTATTTTATTACATGGTTATTGGACTGCCTCTGATACATAATCATACCAATTGTTATCACTCGGTCACATTTGCACACATCTATCATTCTTACGTTTTTTCTTATCATTGGAGCGAGTTTTCTCTTTCTTTGAATTACGCGCGCGTACATTGTACGGAAATTGAAATAATGTATATATTATATATAATAGCATCATGTTATTTAAATTACATCTCAATTACTTTTTAATGTATATAAAAACACTTGACAAACAAAAACGGAACAACTTAGAGTCTTTTGTGGAGCTGCGCCGATGGTGGACACGGGCTTATACGACTCTCTTCTCGTTTCTTTCTTCTCTACACTTCTTTTTTTTTCTTTCTAATTTCTAATATTTGTTCTTCCGTATTCCAGCACACACTTCGCAGAAATATCGATCACTTGATTTAAGCGTGTAATATTTCAGGATAATAGACTCACTCGAATAGAAAGTTTCTTGGGCTAAGAATGTTTTAGGCGCTGCGATCGAAGCCCAAAAACACTAGCGAAACGTTGAGAAAATCGGGCGAGACTTGCTTCAGAAGCTTAAAACAGAATTCAATGTGATGCTCTCGTGGACAATGCGACGGGCGACGTAATCGTATTATCCTGCACTCTTGCTATTGTGTGTCTTCAGATTAAAATTTTGTGCCTGTGGGAGGAATTAGTGCGTGTCGCGACCACGTAGCTCCTGGAATACAGTCTGTGTTTGTGTCCACACGCGACACACTTATTTACAATTCGTCATGATCCTGCAAAATAAACAAGAAAACAAAGTCGTTAATATCGTTGATTCGCACCGAAATCGAAAGGAACTATTGGAATGTTTATATTCAGAAACGAGGAATTCCAATTTTTCTCGTCAGATATCAGAGAAGATATGAACATCATGCGCCAGTATAGTCATAAAATCTTATTAACGACGTGTAAGGTACGTAGAGTTGACACTTACATCGGTATCTGGGTGAATGCTGTTCTCCTCTTCGTCTACTTCTTCATCGTCCTCATCGTCCTTATTATCTGCATTTTCCTTGGCCTCCAAATCTCTTCGCTTCCTCTCCTCCTCATCCTGCGCTTCCTTCATCTTCTTTTCACCTTCCTACGATTCACGGAATAAGGAAAATATTTTCCAATTAGTTTGTCATTTAAAATTTAGATATCTATGACGAGTTAATCATGAGTTGATCATATCGGTAACAAATAAATGATAGGAAAAAAAACTGTAATATGCTTACGAAAGTAGGTTTCCAGACTTCCTCTCCGAATTTGCGTGCGACCTCCGGATCGTCGGTGATCAAAACGTTATCGAAAATGGTACCGGACTTAACTTGCCACAGGTCAAAACCGATAGCGCAGATCTCGTCACGCTTGTACAACTCAGGATCGGGTGTGTATTCGGGGTTATCGATCTCGGGATGGATCCAGGGTCCCTTGTAGTTGGGATTCTCGATTTGTTTCGGTTTCCATTCACCCTGAAAAAATTACATAATTTTAAAAGTAACGATAGATGAAGAAAGTGACCTGACAAATCCTTCGAATACACGTCAGTCTCAGTGTACGGACCTTGTAATCAGGATTATCGATCATGGGCGCTTCCCATTCTCCGTCCATCTCGTCGTCCCAATCCTCAGGTTTCACCGCTTCGGGGTCGGGAATATGCTCGGGCTTGTCCCAATCCTCAGGCTTCTTATCATTGGGATCATCGATACTGGGTTTGTCATCCCAATCGGCAGGCTTGCTCTGAGATGGATCCTTAACCTTTTTCGGAGGTAGGAAGCTCCAATCTGCCTCCAACTCGCCGGATTCGACTTCCTCGTTGTCAATAAGCACCTGAAAAATTTGATTTTGTTGAAGAATCGTCGAACAAGATAATTTTTCGTCTGGCAAAGTAGCGATATTATCGACGTGTTGATCTTTGCCGTATGCATATAGTGAGCGGTATCACTCCCTATACAGTCAACAAACAAGATAATCTTTGCTCTACGAGATCCTGTAGCACCTATCCTCCACGGCAATCAGTGAGAACATGTGACTCTAGGTTCGATAGCACTTACAATGACTGCAACTTTACACGAACATAGCGCATATTTACCTGATAGGTGTTATCGGGTTTGACAATTAGAGTGTACAAATGCGTGTAAATGTCGTCTTTGCAACGAATATCTTTGTTGATTAAAAGGTTCTGCCCTTTGTAACTGAAGATAACGTGGACCTTCTTAGTTCCAGGTCCACAAATATCCGGTCCTAAAGAAATAAAATATATCACATAGTTTTGAAATCAATAACTAATAAATATACATATTTATGCGCAATATATGCATAAATATAATTTTTATGCACGTATTTCCGGTATTTCACATGTCATCATTTCTAAATTAGGTGAAGTTGTTGTTACGCAAGGTAACTCGAGCTTTATCTAAGCTAATTAGTTTCCGTAATGAATGTATCTTTTCTGGTGCCTGCGATACGTACAATCACTATATCACAGGGCATAATGAAAGAGTATTTCTCTCCGAGTTCCTATAGCACTTGTCACACACTGGTTGTATGACCAGTGACTCTTAGGCTCGGGATCTGATTATTCGTTATCAACAGCATAGTTCTGATAAGAAAACTTACCAAACATGATTTCGTACGGGCTCTCGCCATGCATATCCTTCTGGTCGAGAGAACAGTCGAACACTTTAACATATCCGCCTCCGCAGTCGATGTTCTGTTCGTGTTTCACGGTAAACTGAACAACAAGGGTCTTGTCCTTGTTGCTAAACGGAGTAAATTTCCTACTGAGAGCGTAAAACCTCGCGTCTTGCGACGTCTGGATACCTGAGCAAAATTTGACAAAGATAGGCTCGTTACATAAGCGAACTTGACATTCCTTTGTAAGGAATTATCTGTGTTTCTTTTCAAGTACCTTTATCATTTTCTTGATCGTTCCAGAACTTTCCGTAGCTTAAAACGAACTTTCCGAACTCCTTGCCGGGATGCTCGGAATAGATCCAATTCTTTTCCCATGAATCTGAAATATTGACAATTCTTTCGTGAATCAATAAAACAATTTTTTACGTATATTTTACTAACTAAATATCCATCCAATTTATTTAACAAGATATATATATTTAATCAATATTTCAATATCTCTTTATTTTAATATATTTTATCATTCGAGACAAATTGCATGTATTTCTCGAAATCTCAATTCATTTGAAACAATTAATATAAAGCGGCAACGTGTTCGCAGATACGTTTATCCCTACCGCGTCCCCGAGCGAGAAGATGAACGAGGTGGGGGTTGAGAACCGGTTAAAAATTAAGAAGGCAACGATATAACTGTACCGGCTGTCGAGAAGCGAAAAGATAACATTTAATTTCAGCGACATACACAAGAGAGGTGAGAAAAAACGAAGCTAACTAAATCATCGCGCTTCCATTGTCACCGGTAAACATAAGAGATCTGTTTCCTCTTTGCCCGCGTTCGTTTATTCACATTGGGAACTATTGGGAAAATAAAATTGTTATGATACACGTTACGGTGTAACGGGAATAAACGAACGCGGGCTGTAATCCTTTTCCTCCGTCCATCCGAGGTCGGAGTATCCCTGTCCACTCGACGCGCAAAAAAAAAGCTACAAGAAAGGAAATCAAGGTCCGTGTCATCATCATTCTTTCATATCTTGCGCACTTAAAGAAGGGCAAAGTGCAAAAGGAATTCTCTCGCTTGCCTGCTGGATCCTGAATTTAACGGGAAAATCCGTTCATATTTTCCGCACTCGGAGCGAGACAGTCTCGGCGCGGAGGCTTCGCGCGAGCGAAACAGACAGAGAAGGAAAGAAAGAGCGAGAGGGAGAGAGAAAGAGAGAAAAACGGAATGGAGGCGCAGGGAAGAGGAGGCGTAGGGAATTACGTGGTGACGCGAACGGACCTGTAGAGCTCGCGATCTCGCCTCGGGATCGGAGTTCGGAGTTCCTTGGGGTCCCCGAAAAGCGGAGTTGCTCCGATCCGCGGTCGCGCGGTTCGCCGCTCCGGCGGTCGAGCGCACAGATCGACGGATCGATCTGTGCGGCGTCATGTAGGCGACGGCGGCGACGTGCCACGAGAGACGTGGGGAGACACGACGCTTCCGACTGCGTGTCGCTCGCCTCAGCCTCTCTCGATCCTTTCCTCGCCCGTCCGCCCGTCCGTCCGTCCGTCCTGTTTCTTTTTCTTTCTCTCTCTCTCTTTTTCCCCGGTGCACATATGGCCGATATGGCGGAAGCACGATGTGTCACGGACACGCTCCTTGACGATTCCCCGCGTGTTAACTGTCGCGAGAGCGATCTCGCGCGAGAGATACGTGGACGAGCGACGGTCGGCCGGCGGCGGGACGGAACGGAGCGACGGAACGCGGCAGGGCGTGCGGTTACCAAAGAGAGGCCGCTGCCGTGCCGCGTCCACGTCCTTCCCTGCGCGACACGTCGTCGCGTTCCCGTGATCTTCGTTTCTCCGGCCGGCGTTTCCCCCCGTCGCGGTCGGAAGGAAGGAAGGTACGGGAGAACGCGCCTCGGCGAGGATAAAGCGAGGGTGTGGTTCGTCGCGAGACCGCGGGGCCTCCGATTCGCGACGGTCTTCGTGGCAAAAGGGAGAAGCCGCCGCCGTTGCTACCGCCGCCGCCGCCGCGCGTGAACGGTTCTTCGCGACCGCGCCGGGCCCGGTCTCTTTCGAGAAAATGAATATGAATAGCGTCTACTCACCATCGCTGAACTTCTCGTCCAGATACACCTCCGCCGTAGCCGCGGAGAGGGCTAGGAGAACGACGAACGCGCAGAGGGACCGCATTATTCGGACGCCGATGAGGACGACGTGAGTCCGAGGAGACCGACGACTACGTAAATGTACCTGCCACCACGACGAACTGGCCGATAATGCCCGCTCCGCGGACGTGGTTGGTGAGTTTAGCGGCCGTCGAGGTAGACAGATGGAGGGCGCCGATTGGCGGAGGCGCGCCGGCCAATCGGCGCCGACCACGCTTACCAGGCGGTGCGCCGCGCCGCGCAGCGGCGCCGCGCGAAACTACGTCAGCGCTGATTTGTCGCGCAGCCGCTTATCCGGCGTTGATACGGCAGCGGCAGAAGAAACCCGGAGAAACGGCCGAGCTTAGACCGATTGCAGTTGCCGAAGGAATTTCCCGCCGTTGCCGAAGGTCACGAAGGTATTTCGCAATTTCTTGGAGAGGAAAATTCGCTGGCGGCCCTTTCAGTTTTCCTGATTCCTTTTTCTTTCAGTTCTCGATCGTTATTAGGTATTTTACGCGTATAACGAAACCCGGCGTCAAAAGCAAGATTGTTCTTTAAACTTTTTGGTTCTTTAGGTGTTGAAATACATTGTCCTAACCCCCGGTGCTGCTAAGTGGCAACTATAAGGGGAAAGAAGTTCTCCTTCCAAAGGGAGTGGGTCCAACCAGAGGAGACACACCTCACAGAGAACACCTTTATTGAATACCTAAGAGAAAATGGATCCCTTTCGACATCAGCAATATCAGTATTTTTTGTATCAAACTGAACAGACGAGGAGTCTCTGTCGTGTCATCTCCGCACTTGTGGAGATGATTCAGGGTTATGTGACTTTGCACCCGACCATGGCGTATTTGCCAGTGCCCATGATAGCCGATCCATCGGAGGAGGCGACAGACCATGAAGAGATTGATTTGGAAGAGGTAGCCGATCCATCGGAGGGGACGACAGACCATGAAGAGTTTGATTCGGAAGAGGTAGCCGATCTATCGGAGGAGACGACAGACCATGAAGAG